GCTAGGAGCGTAAATTCACAGTTGGGGAAGACTCCGCCCACTGCCGATCTCCCTCCCGTGAACCCTTATTCGTCGTTTTCGCGCCCTCCTATGTGGATTTTCGGATTCGGCATAGCGAGTAGGCCGCCCGGGTAAACACAAAATCTCAAAAGACTTTTTGCCCTTTCACTGCCTCTAAGCAATGTGGTTTCAAATGCTGTGTAAGTATACAGTATACTATATAGCGGCTCAGTTTACCGCAAACGTGCTGATCTGGAGATAACTATCGCTTTTTCTGTCTTACATGAGCTTTGATATTGAGTTACGAAATTATTAATAGCGAGGGTTTCCAGCGACGCTTTGATTTTCAATACATTGGACTTGCCAAACTTACTTACTTTCTTTTGATCATTTGCAAGGTATAGCTCATCTTCTTTCAACCGAATGTGATTTTTTTGTAGATGGACTCATGCTGTCGCTCATTGTTGCCATCTGTGGACTGGAACATGGCGTGTGCTTCTTCTGCAAAATACCACTGGGAAGATGAGGAGAAGAAGGATGAACATGAAGCTGAATCTGAGGGACGTAGACGCAGGAGTCACTGGACAGAAGAAGTGCTTGCTGCAACGAACCAATGCATAGCAGTACGAAATGGAAGCCTACGAGCAAGTGAGTTTGCTTCGTAATTTCCTGAATAAGAAGTAATGGCTGTGTGCTGTTTCCAGATACAGTATTGTCACGATGCTGTGCGAATTTTGAAGATTTTTCGCAGCTGGAGCTGACGCGAGTGCAAAGATCAGTTGGTGAGTGTCTTTGTGAAATATCGGCTTCATCAATTCTTTGGTTCAATTCTAATTCTCAAGCCTTCATTCATATTACTTTTTACTTTGATTCGTTTCACTGAGTTTTGTGTCTGCTCATATTCTGTGTTGCGTTTACTCCCATTGGCGTCAGCTAGAAGTCATGAGTATCGTTTAGCTTCCTATAATCTTCATGCTCGTGAAGTGAAAGTTGCTGATTTGTGTATGCGGGGTCGTTTGCACGAATATATGAAGTACCCTACAATTAATGAGGTAGGCGTTGTTGTGTTTCCTAGTCCTAAAGTGATTGCTGCAGTTCATTAGTCTTTTTCCCTTGGCGTAAAAGGCTGTTAGTGGCTACCCTCTTCCAACTTCTTGCATCTTTTGTCTTTTGGGTTATAAACTTGCGAATCGTTTTCATTTGATTTCATTAGTAGCTCAAATAGTGCTAAGTTCTAGAAACGAATCTTTCCGAAAGTTTCTCGGTTAGGCCCAAGACAGAGTCCACGCGATTTGATCGTCGCGA